GGACCGTCATGTGGCTCTCCACCCAGAGCCTGTTGGAAATACTCCAAAAGAGGGCAAGGGCCCACCCACTGGGAGCTACCGGAGTGCTCTATCACCAACAGGTCATTTTAGGAGGGGCTGGGGCATCCCCGCATCAGTGCAGCCACCTGAACCAGCAGAGAGCTGGCACACCTCTGCCCCACCCCTACAGCCCCTCTGGGGAGGCTTGGTGGGTGTGCAAGTCACCTGGTGGCCATGGTGTTAAGCAGCTGATCCAGCTGGGAGGGCGGATCAGGAGCCAGACTCAAGTAGCTTTCCTTAACCAAGGGCAGTCTGATGGAAGCGGGAAGCTGGGGCTGAAGGAGTTCTACATTCTCTGGACGAAGATTCAAAAGTACCAAGTAAGGTCCCCGAGGCCGAGACGGGAGGGTTGGGGACCTGCACAGGGTCACATGCTGGACGCACACTTTAAGATAAGAGCGGCTCTTCCACAAAGGGTTAGCCATGGGGCGCTCAGAGCAAGGCAGGGCGGGGCTGGGTAAATACTGCCAGTCACTAGAAACACCAAGCAAGGCCTTCGCATGCTCAGTCCCCCTTCCTCTGCCTGTTCAGTTACTACTTCAAATGCAGGCTTCTAAAAACCGCTGCCACCGAGGACAACCCGTAACGACGGTGTGGCCCCTCACACTGGGTTTGTAGCAGCTCGAGTATACGAATTAACCCAAGACAAGAGCATGGGCCCAGGGTTTCTGATGTCGTCGGCCGGGAAGCACAGGGCGGTGAAGACTCTGTGAAAGGCAACCTGCTGGGTCTGCTTACCAAGGCAGTCCAATGAAACTGGCCCCCAGAAACCCACAAAACACGAAGCTTTTTTAGCAAGATGCATGTACAGCCCAACCTGTTGCTATCAGGTCATCACCACTCAGAGCAACCTGAGCAGAATCTCCCCACAAGGTTTCCAAGGCTGTAACCTTGACGGAGGCAGGCCGGCTCATCTGCCTCCCACAGAGCAGCTGCTGGGTTCGCACCAATACCCTTAGGGTTGGGAGCTGAGCAGAGAGCGCTGTCACCGTGGGTGACCCATCCCAGGGCAGTTTAGAAAGTGATGGGTTAGGAAAAGTCGATCCCCATTCAGTTCCACTCTGCGTCATGGGTCTTGTCGTTTTCTATGTTCTAGAAAATTTACCGGGAAATCGATGTGGACAGGTCTGGAACCATGAATTCCTATGAGATGCGGAAAGCATTAGAGGAAGCAGGTACCTTTTCATAGCCTCTGTTCCCTTCTCCCCTGTCTGCAGAGCAAGTGGAGTCTTATTCTAGATAATACACAGTTTGTTCAACTGCAAAGTGGGTGCTGGCTGAACACCAGCATCCTTTTTCACTACCCTCGTAAGACCTCCTTGAGAAAGCACGATCCTCGAATCCTCCTTTCTTCCGACAGCCTGCCAGGCAGGCAGAGCCGGTTCTCCACAGGCTCCCCGGACAACTCCTCCCAGGTGTCGGGTTGAAAATGGAATGTTTTAGTCCAACCCTGAGAGCACATCCCTAGCTGAAGTAGATAGCAATCACGGGGGCATGAGCTTAAGGTACCAACAGAGTGAGAGACTTTGGGTACGACAAACGTGACACCAATATTAAAAAGACACACACATCACTGCCATCGAGTCAGTTTTGACTCATAGAGACCTTGTAGGGCAGAGGAGAATTGCCCCTGAGTTTCCAAGACCCAACTTCTTATGGGAGTAGTAAGCCTTCTCTCTCTCTCAGAGCAGCTAGAGCAGCGGTTCTCAACCGAACGACCCTTTCACAGGGGTCGCCCGATTCATAACAGTAGCAAAATTACAGTTACGAAACAGCAAGGAGAATAATTTTATGGTTGGGGGTCCCCACAACCTGAGGAACTGTATTAAAGGGTTGCGGCATGAGGAAGGTGGAGAACCACTGAGCTAGAGGTTTCGAACTATTGACCTTGTAGTGGCCCAACGTGTAACCTGTTACACAATCAGGGCTCCTTGAAAACATGATTCTCCCTGCCAGCAAGTCACTGCTGACTCATAGGGGACCCCCTGTGGTTTCCCGAGACTGTAACAGTTTGTGGTAGTAGAAAGCCCAGCCTTTCTCCCCCCCCCCCCGAGCTGCTGGTGGTTTTGAACTGCTGCCCATGGGGATCGCAACCTAATGCATAACCAGGAGTTGGTGGGACTAATGGATCAGCTGAGACATAATGCGGCGTCCCCAAAGACAGTGGTTTCGTAAGACATGGGTTCTCTCATATAACAAACCAAGCCCAAGCTGTTCCCGGTGCCTCCGTGCTGGCAGGAACCTGGGCTCCTTCTGCCCTGTTGCTCCCCTACCCCCTTCATCCACGTGACCCATGGCGGTCACAGGAAGATGACGGTAGAAAGGAAGTCACGCACCACTTCTGCTCACATGTCCCTGGTCGCTCTCCTCCCCAAGGCTGCACACAGCTTCGAGGGAAATTGGGAGTAAGGCCTTTGTGCGAGGCAGCCCGGGCCCACTAAGTATTCTGTAACCAAGGAAAAGGGAGAATTACTAGTGGGTGCTGTGAATCATGCCTGCCACATCCACCCTGGAAGAATCTCATTTCCAAGACGGTTCTGAGCTAAACAGAACAATAGAGGCATGACTACCACCACGGGAATAGCAATCGGCAAGGAAAGTCTTGGGGGACAGGAAGTAGGTTTGGCCAAAGGGTGGTAGCAGCTACGGAAGTGTGAGAAGGCAGTTGGCAGGGTGAGGGTGAACAGGATAAGGGAAACAGCTGGAGATCCTGGCTTGGCGAAATAAAACCCGTCTCGAGGAAGCCACGGCAAGAGCAATAGCTGTTCTAATGTGAAGTGCCACGCCATAGCCCAGGGACAGAGCTACGTGGCAGTGTCCTGCTTTGCAATGCCTTTGACCGCTCACTGTCACCTTAGGTTTCAGGCTGCCCTGTCAACTCCACCAAGTCATCGTGGCTCGGTTTGCAGATGACCAGCTCATCATCGATTTTGACAATTTTGTGCGGTGTCTGGTGCGCCTGGAGACACTCTTCAGTAAGTGGAGGGAGGCCTCCGTTCTCACCGCATCACAACGCGGTCAATCTGAGCCGCCGCCGGGAGAGAATGGAATCCCTCTGGATGGATTTGGGGATGGAGGGAAGAAATAGCTGTAGCATTCCAATGGAATCCCCCGCCCAGTCGGGAAAGAGGCTGTGTTCCAAGCATTTACACCATCGTCCTCTCCCGCCTTCCTTTCCAGAGATATTCAAGCAGCTGGACCCTGAGAACACCGGGACGATAGAGCTCGACCTGATCTCCGTAAGTCACTCCCCGGCCACCGCACT